TTTCTCAGAAGCAATTTTCCTAAAACGCGGCAATTATCGTAATAAAAAACGCAGCGTTATAACTCCGCAAGATCGTTAAGTGTCTTGGTTTACTGGTTCCGGGAAACCCATAAAAAATGCACGGGTCCGAAGCCACGTTACCGCCCAGAAAGCCGGCAAATCGCTCGCCAACTTTGCATGGTGCAGGCTGCTGGAACTGAAAGTCGGTTGCTGCGACGAATCTGCTCCTCAAAAGTCGTAAGGGTTTCTCGAAATTGGTCGCTGTTAACTCGAGCGCATTTGAATATACTGTTTCCTTTTTTTAACATGATATTCTGTAAAGAATGACGCTACATTCTTGCCAGCGTTGCCAAATTATCTCAAAAAATTCGCAAAAATTAAAAAAGTACATTGTCATAGAAGTTTTATCCCTCTGTTATACTTATTTACAGGGTGATTCAGTCATAATGTCATTAATATTTTAACTAGAAAGTGTCAATTTATTAATATGATAAATAACAATTTATTTGCTATGACATCCGCCTACTTCATATTTACAAATTTTTGGCAATTACCTCTTTAGTGAACGATGACGCTTCTAGTTTTTTTACTAGAAAACTATCGGTTTTATCGAAAAATTACAAGAGGTAAAAAAGTTGCGCAATAAATCAGTCTTCCCAATAAATAATTTTAAATAAATAATTTTCTTCATATAAAAAATTTCTAATAAGATGTTGCAATGGGGTTGACTGTTTCACTCCTTTATAAAATACGCCAATCATCGAAAAAATATTGAAATCCTCTTATTTTTAGCTCTATATTCACTGGTACCTTTTTGCTACTTAATTTAAAAACACCCTGTACTATATAGGAATTTTTTAAATGGACCGAGAACCCATCAGCCTTATAATCAAAGCTGACGTTCGATCACTCTCGACGCTGGATTCCGCAAGGTGTCCTGTTTTGGTTAATTTGGATTTTGAAAGACCATTTCTCTTTAGGTGGTGCCCTTCTCCAAGGAGTTAAGCTTCTGAAAATGATTTTGCTTAGTGTTTACCTTAAGGCCATTTTGGGGTTTTTCGCGGCAATTGTGGTTTTAGGAGTAAATCCCGGAAGTTTTCAAAACATGCGTGAAAAATTCGTGAACTGCACCTTGTATTAAGCTTTTCAAAGGATTAACTGATTCCTTTCGAGACGTGGGTGAATTTCGAACTAAATAAATTCCCCTGGTTCTTACATCCGCCTTGGCATAAATCGGCATACCTCTCGTAGATACACGCCACGCAATTACCATAAGGTTGGAAACTTCTCATTCTAGTCAATGCTCGACTTATCCGTATTTATATGTTATCTGCATTCCGTTTACCGTAACCCGTTTTTGGTATTTGCGGAGCGAACTTATTGCAATAAATTGGTTTAGGCGCTCGGTTTCAGATATGCATTATTTAAACCAGCCCCGACTACGAACAGAACATACACGAGAGCTGCATAGTAAACATCATAAACAATTTATTTTGTAAATATTTACAATTATGGTTAGGACTCCAACACGATATACGTAGGACATTGTATTTCGTTTATAAGATTGTTTTCGTTAACGATTTTTATTTAAGTAGCGTCTAATTAGCGTTTAGTCTAATCGTAGGGTGATGGTACAAATTATTTTTCACTTAATCGCCGATGATTCCACAGAATTCGATTCAATACGTTTAAAAATAGGATCAAATTAAATCAGGTTCACAATAGTAGGCTGTGACTCATAGTGTGACCGTACGACGAATAAGCCGTTCGGGGATTATAACTCCATGGGCGTATCATTTTAGAGGGTTCCAAAAATTTGTAAATATATATTTCAGTAAAAATTAACCATGTCTCCTGTATTAGCCAGTAACGTTGCCGATGTTATTTGGAATGAATAGCCTGTATATGTTTCAGGATGTTCTAGTTTCAAAAACTGTGCAATCTTACTAAGAATCATAGAAAGAGTATTCTTGCCGACTGGTTGGTTATTTACACCATAAGGGGACTCTATTGCCAGCCCTCGCTCCGCTCGGGCGCAAAACCGTCCTCAACTGGTAAATAATACTTACCCCCCTTATGGTGTAAATAACTATTACCCTCGTAGGCAGTGATACAATCTTCGCTCGGTATGACGTCACAACGTGTCTTCCGTGCGTTTTCCCGCGTTCCGTTTTCGTTAATTCGTTAAGCGAGAAATTGTTGGAAAAAATTTCAGATTTTTTGCACAACTAACTACGATGTGCATTTTCTGAGTATGGATTGGAAAAGACGTACTGATTCGCTTGAATAATGTTTAAAAATAGAAGCACTACGCTAGGGCCAAATTAAATCAACTTGGCGTTGAGAGAAACAATAAATACGTGATGGGAATTGAGCCGGTCATAAAACGCACTTCATAAGCATATTTCACATATTCAAAACAATGTACCGCACTGTAATGAATGGGTACATAAAGAGATACTTGAAAACAACCTTGGGAAAAACGCGTACATTGCCTCCTTTCGATCATGTGAATGAATCTCTTTAATTTCTGTAACATTGAGCTGAGAGGATGGGCACATCTCTCTGTTCTTGAATAGTTTCTTTAACTAACGCGCGAGAAAAAAAAACTGAATGAGATAACCGGCGACTAGTTTGACTCGTTTCTAGAATCCCATTGTTAAATTTTATTGGATTAATGCTCGCTTTCACGGAATACACAACATCCTCGTTAAGCCGAATTAAAAATTTCATTCAGCCTGGCGTTATTTATAAAAATGGCTGCATCGATGGGACTGGAAATTTTCCATGTGAATTTTATTTTTAAATATTATGTATACGACCAGTGCAGTGTTGGATTGGATACGTTTTAGTACAGAAAAGTTAGACATAATAAGAAGGAATAGACGAACTTTTTTGTTCTAAGATGTTTTTATAGAAAAGTGTAGATTGTAAGGTCAGAAAGCATACCTATGTCACACACCCAACCACCAGCAACATACAGCGTTTTGAGATATACGTATGATTTTTTGCGTTTTTTTGACCAGAAACTGTCAATAATTCAACTCTTGTTTATTTTTTTAAGTATTGCAATAATAGGAATCAATATATATTTTATTATGAAATGAAAATATCGTGGTTGCTTTTAATCAAACCTCAGCTGTTCACACGGAATGCACCAGCCAATTGTTTATTTGCTCTTGGGATAATGTAATTTATGAATATATACAAAGATGTAGTTCGGGGTGCCGAAACTAAGAGAAGTTATTTTTTGTGACAGTAGTAAAATTTCAGTTATTTGAATGTTTTTCTTTCTTTCATTTTCTAAAATTATGAACTGAGAATTTTGGTCATTTTTGAATCTTACTCAAAATTGGTCTTAACTATTATAATAATTATTTTGCAAACTATGACACGCTTGACAATTTCCTTTACAGCTTTTACTACTTGAAATACCGTTTAAAAATACCTTAACCATTTTCTACGAGATAATATTTAAATGTGATGATCGATGGGATGCGTATACAATAATATAGCAACAATAACAATAGCAATGATTCATTATTCCTAAAAACCTATCTATTCCGTTAATCTTACTGATGACAGCACAACAAAAATCTGATTAGTCGTTCCCTGAAGCTGATGTTTTGCGCACTATAAGATACGTCCTACGAAAATGGGAATTAATTTGAGGTTTGCGGTTAATTAAACGAGGAAAATCTTCGCTGAAAAACCACATCAAATGGAAACCGAGCGCGGCGATTTTCTCTGATCTTCAATCCAAACGGAACAATCTTGTATGATACAAGGTAAAGAGATATTGCATAATTTTTGTTTATAATCCATGACTAAATTTTATTGTCTGGATCTCTCTTATCATAACAGTAAATAAAATTAAATCCAAACTGTCTCCACAGTTTGTGTAGTGATATTCATCGGTTTAAAAAGCTATAATGATGGAATTTTGTATTTCGGGTTTTGAGGTGTGATCAAATCGAAAATGCTATCCACTTCTTTCTTAAAAAAATGTCTAATATGTTGTTTAATTTTTTCTTAATGATAGTAGGCCGTAGAAAAGATCAAAAAATATAATATCAAAAAGTAGGCCTTTTTGAGGACACCACATAAAAAAGAATTTTGGAAATCGGCCAACGCCATCCTAAATACTGAGGTGTTCCGACTTTAAGTGAATCACACTGTATATGTAAGAAAATATTTTCTTCCTTCAAAAAATTATTTATTTTAGTAAATTTTTGTCCAGAAATATAATTTCTGTGACCTACAATTTTCTTTCAAGAAAACAATAGTTCCTAAATTAATACTAAATTTTAAATATATAAATATATTTTAAGGAACTAGTAGTTTTGAAACAAATGTTTGCAGTTTTATTATGAACTGTAAGAGATATTGTAACTAAAGTCCGAGATAATAAATTTCGAAACTATAAATGATTTGAATTAAATTATATATATTTACAAATAATATAAATTCTAAGAAAAATGATGGATTACAGCAAATATTTCACATAGTTTGACGAAAGTATATACATTTAAATAGAATAAAATAACATTTACGGTAAATAATTCCATTTAAAACTATCTGCTCATTTGATCCAAATACTTTCTTTTAGTGTACCCTACCGCTGGTGACATTTCCCCCGACAACATCCTGTATAAACCTAAAAATTGAAATATACCCTCTAATTCTATCGAATCCGATCATAAAAAGTTATGTGCTTAGGGTGAGCGCCCCATTACCGGGAACTTCCAGCTACACAAACAAATATTGTCTGAGTACACATCTCTCCCCATTCTAATATTTGTGTTATCGAACTTCAACCCGGACTAGCGGCGTAAGAATTCCCTGGACCCCGAAGGAAGCGCTTCGCCCGTCGTTTTCGGAAAAGGGCGACAACCCTGTTCCGAGAAAGCCAACATCAGTAGCGGCTGTGCCCACCCGAAATAATTTAGAAATAAATAAATCATAATAAATTAAATTCACATAATAATCTGTTTACTCACCTGATTTTTGCAGCACATGACATACTTGAAATCTTGTGGATAATCTTCGAGTACTGGTACCAGGATCCTGTTCTAAGGATCCTGTTCTGGTTCTAAGTTTCTCACTCTTTGAGTTTGTTACATACCATCCCGTCATATCTCACCAGGTGTGAAGTCAACTGGCAGTAGAAGCTTTTCAGAAACGGCCATCGAAACTTTAGCTACAAAGCGGAGGCTAGCCTCCGGTGCTCTTCGTAAGCGTTCGGAACAGGATCGGATTCTGCTTAAATTTAAACTGTTCACGATTGAATTTTGTTGCTGGTTTGTTCACTTTGGATTAATTTAATATGTGTAGCATTGATTGGCTGCTAAAGCAGATGAATAAGAAAATTAAAAAATGGAAATTTGAGAAATTAAAAATTTGCGAACACAAATTCAACCGCCCCCCCCCCCCTTTTAAGGGAGAATTTTGTAAATAAATGCTCCTCTCTATTTTTAACTACGTAGCAACCAAGGCAGTAATATTTTTCGCCACTAATTATTTTAAATCTAAACGTGACGTTATCTTGTCACGAGCCGCCGCTGGCAAACGCTCGCGTAACAGCACAGATGCATTAGCGCAACACAAACGTGTCTCGAGATATCCACGCTTAATAATTTCGTGAGAAATTAATTTTGTAAATGGGATAAAGGCGCTCGCAAAGCAACGGCTCCGTTACTAAAGGTGAGGTTTCTGTAATTGCGCTTTCTAGGAAGCGGTCTAGGCGCTAATTGTCTTTATTTCGCGAAAGACCCGGTTTCTTTCACAGGACAACTCGATTTAATAATAACCTATTGCATAAATCTCGCAGTAAAATTGACGAGGTCTGTAGTTGATCGTCATAAAGTCTTTGAATTGTCAATTTATCAAAAGAAACAAGGAAAAAAATATCATTAAATGTAAAGAAAACCATTCTAGCCGTGCTGATTTGTTAGTAATGTGGCATCAGGCTGGGGAGGTTTAAGCACAACATCCTGTAGAAGTCGAAAGTCACTTTATTTTATGAATCAGTGTTCCGTTTTCTTTCCTAAATTGAGAGTTAAGCCTAAAAGAATGATATATGAAGCAATTTATGAAAATAATCTATTGCTATTGCTTTTTCTACCCCCACGTGGCGTAGGTTAACAACTGTTACTCATCACGTTTCCTTGTATAACCTCGTTAAAACGTTGAATCCAATTTAATTGCATAAATTACACATTTATCAACACCTGCGTCGTATGTAAACCCCCTCGCTATTCGAGATATCATCGCGAGTCGATGAAATAATCCAAGTTTTGAAAATAAACGACTTTATCTTAGCGTTTTTTTTTAAGTGAATAAATTGTATTTAATCTGGGATTCATTAATATGCATGGCATTCGAAAAACTCAGCAGGTGGCCAAAATAACAAATGTTCACATCATAGTAGTGTTTCTCTATTTACTTATCGTTTAATCACGTTAAACGTTGAAGCACGTCACGTCGCACGTCACACCACACACCAAGTCGCACGTCACACATCACAATGGTCACGTCACACATCACAATGGTCACGTCACACGTTTCACACCGCATTTTACATTTCGCACGTCGCACGTCACGAACCATCACAGACCATCGTACACCACCCCGGACCATCGTTACTTGAGCCCATTGTTCACAAAAAGTATGTAATCTATTAGTTGCCTGAAAAACTGTTCTAATAATGATTTTTGGGGCAAAAGTTTTCAGAGATTTTTTAATTTTGTTAGGACCTATTTTTCTCATATTTGCTTAGTAAAATGGCGAAACAAAGTATTACCACACGAAATCGAATTCCTGCTAATATTTCATTGTTTAATTACCGCCAAAACAAACATATGACTTGCTCAATTCCATTTCCATGCTTATCGCTTCCACTAATTGGTGAGCGTCGTTCTTGCCGGGTTCCTGGAACGACATCTGGATTTTAAAGAGATTTCCCCTTACAGATAAGTGCCTATAACAAATTGATGGGCACCACGCGGCGCTCGTGGGAGACGAGAACGACGCGTCTGTCGTTTCCCGTTCTGTTTTCGCCGTCGAACACGTGCCCCAGGGGACCAGGCCGGGCCCCCTACGTACCGCTAATTGTCTTTTCCGAGAAGAGAACGCACTTTCGACAGTGCGTACGATGTCAATTCTACATCAGGCGGACTAGTTTACCAGTACCGGACTCGCCGAATTGCTATTCGAGTATAAATTACGGGACACATCATGGTCAAAGCATAAGAAGAAATTTCAGGAGAAGTGCATACGACTCTGTGCTTTAAGATTTACAGGTTCCAATTGACATCATAACAACTATACATCCAAGTTTCTTGACACTGTAAATAATTTAAATTATTTTTAAAAATTAAATATTTAATATTTTAATTTCAATAAATACTTGAGGTAAATAACATTGCGCATTCACCACGAGATAAAGCATGAAAAGACCTTTCCATCGAGGGCTTTTGACGAGTCAATTCTTAGAAAATGCATTTTTCTGATCAGACATTAGGGGCTTCCCTCACCCATTCTGTCGAGAGATAGAACGAATTGTCAATGACAAAAGTTATGCGCAATGAATTCTGCTATCCATATTTGCACTTAACTATTTAATATACCTGAATAGGAAACATTTCTGAGAACAATTCAACTCTATGATTTGGTATATACAGGGTGTTAAAAAAAGAGTATAAAATATTTCAGGAGGTAATAGTATGAACCAAAATAAGCAGAAAAGCCTTAATAAACATGGGTCCGAAAAGTAACGGTTGCGGAGATATGGACCACTATTATTTTTCAAACATTTTATTTTATTAGGAATAAACCGACAAAGGAAGCTTTTAACAAACAAAAAACAAAGTTACAGAAGATGTTCAAAGTGCCCTCCGTCCATTTCCAAGCAGGCACGACATCTTCGTCTCAACGATATTCGAACTCTTTCGAAAACACCCTCCTTGGTTTGGATTTCTTGACACTTTTGATTAATCCGTAGCTGCAGCTCTTCCAGGCTATTTACAGGAGTACCNCACTGAGCATTTTAGAAATTCAACCAGCCCATTTGCTTCCTAATAATATTTGAAAGAAGAAAAGATCACTTCCTTTTTTTAAAATATGAAACATTGCTCTTATTTTTTTAAAATACGCCAGTGTCACCTCTATAAAATTGAAAAACTTATTAATCTATAAATTTTTAATTCTGATTTTGTCGTATTTTTAACAATTGCAGTGTATTCGCAACAAAAATTACCGTACTTACATTTTTTATGACATGAATAGTTTGAGACTAAAAAAATTTAAATAATATTAACTCGAAACAGACTGATTTTTTCGAACAAATGAAGGAATCTTTCAATATCTCCGCCCCTGATTTGCGTACCAGCTTTGTGAATTTTTTTCCCCGTTTTACATTTATTTATTTCAGTTACCTAACCAGATTTCATTAAGCAAAAATGATATAAAAGTGGGATTATATTTCGATCTATTACGATTATTATGAGAAATAGTTTTTGCTCCAATCTTTTGATTTTTTTATACATATCTCCACGAAAGCTTATAGTTTTAAAACTAGAAACCACATTCGCTGTAATTATTTACTAAACTTGTTATACACAGAAACATGTCGCTAAATGTTAGTAGTTCAACGGGATTTTGTTGTAGGATTCTCTCTTCTCTCAGGCCTCAGCATAATTCTCTTATGCACGATTCGCGGAAGCAATCGTTTTTGATAAATAAAATAAACAAAAGCCACATTTTATTACACCAAAGTAAATAAACTTCATGTATGTATGTACAAACAAAAAAACTACACGTTCCCAGAACACGCCGATAATCTCGCACAGTGCTAATAGAAATAAACTTCAATTAGAAAAATTATTATAATTATCATAGTCACGAGCACAGTTATGCTCCCGTGTACAGCTGTGGACAATAAAATCTCTCTGAAATGTTAAAAATTTAGTTATTCAAACCGGGCTTCTGGCAAACATGGGGAGGAGAGCGCCAGTATTTTCCAGATGTGACATCGTACCGAAGACCGCTCAGGTTTCGACGCGTTCTAGTTAGAGAGGTGATCGAACGTCGACTTTGACCGCTTGTAGTTATGTAACTAGAGACAAGTACTTGGCCGGTGCGCGTGACGTACGATAAGAATTATACATACAAAGCCGCATTTACACTTAAACGTAAGCGTTGGAAACATTTTCTTGTCCGCAGCTGTACACCACACGGCTATTTTTTCCGATTGTGGATTTCTCGGTACAAGCTACGCCGAGTCGTTCGGAGTAAAAGCATAATTCTTCGCTTTTGATATATTCCTGTTTATGGGTACATAATCAACTGTGTGTATTCGGAATTTTAACATAAGCCGCCGCTTTTGCTCGGCATTCGCTGTCGAGCGACTGGTTTCGTTTGCAATTGGAAATTTATCATGATAGATATGACACTCTGCCTTCGGATTCTTCGAAACTTCTACCAACAACCATTCGGCATTACCATAGGAATGCTGTAGCTTTCCGAGAAGTGGATGCTGCCAGGCGTCCTTTTAAATCAGTGCCAAAAGCCACAGAATTCTTTTTCCCATGACGGATTGCCGGTTTGCTGGAAGGTATCTTATGTCTTATACGGGATGTGACTATAAGTGAGGTCAATTTTTTAGGGGCGATGAAAATTACTAAGAAAAGGTTAAAAAGTCTGAAGGTCAAGTTAGCTCCCGTATAAATATGACCAGCATTCAAAGTTATACACAGGGTTTTACAAAAACACCCGACAATTTTTCAAGATCGAGTAATTATACTTACGGTGACGATCCAGTAGTAGTTGTCGACTTGGTGATTTTAAATGGAACTCCCTAAACAGGGTGGTCCGAATTTTATGCAGGAAACTTCGAGGGCAGATAGATCTTTTAAAAACAGTAGGTGTTTGCCTTATAAACATAGGTCTGGAAAGGCCTCGTTTTAGAGGTACAGTGTGTTGAAGTTGTTAAAAAAAAAATTTTGTGTATATCTCCGGAATCCATCTACCTATTTCAATAAAATTTAGTACA